AATCTGCTGGCTTCTTCTTTAGATTATTCTTTTTATGTACAGTGCCCTGAGACAACGTATGTTGTGACTGAGGCGCTATATAAATAAACTTGAACTTGAACTTAAGAAAAAGTGAGTGGTTAAAAAGTCAAAAATTACATTTATTGGGAGGTGACCTCCCAAAAAACATCTTTCTAAAGGCCATAATGAATATGTCGTATTAAAATGTGTAATGTCATTTGTCTGAACATGTGTCTGTGTTTTGCTTGATATTGTATATTGTGATCTGGTGTTGTTTTGTTCTTCCTACGGTATCCTACCTCAGGACTACAGATGTAAGTTAGCAGCTATAAGTATAAGAAGTATAAAATTGTTCATTAATGTGCACTGTCCTGATTAAATAAATAAATTAACAAATAAATAAAATAAAATGTGTGTCTTCAACACTTTGAGATGCACTGGGCTTCCTGTTTCAGCTAGCAATTAAAACAGGAGTAACTGTCTACTTCTTATACTTTTTAAAAAATGTGAGTAAATTATAAAGAACAGACAATTATGTGAAAATGTAAGTTAAAGTAAAAAGTCATCTGAAAAATAATTACTCAAGTAAAGTACAGATAATATAAATTTTGACCTAAATACGAAGTATTCTTACTTTGTTACTTTACACGTCTGTACACAGCTGTGAAAATTCTTGATGTTGTGTAAATATTTTGCAGAAACTCTTATAATTGTACTTTTTTGCAGCTCTTACTTTGAGAGTACAGGCAGACTGTTTTTGGCGTGTATTGAGACTGGGATATATCCAAAGTTTTATTTATGTTCTTGAGGTTCCAGATTTTGGGTCGACTGCATAGACCTAGCATGTAAAACACATCCACGTGTTACATTTGGGTAAATAAAAAATTGTATTATTCAAGTTTTGGCGTACTGTTTATTGCAATCTAATAATACATGGAATTTAGATAAAATAGCAATTTTACTCTCCCTCCTTCTACAGTGTGTGCCTCCGCCCCCCCCCCAAAAAAAAATCTAGACAGGTTAGCTAACCTTGTTTGACACATTTAGGTTACATTCCTAACCCTGATACAGTTCATTTCACATTTCACCACACTTTAAATTGACCATTTTTACAATTTAAAACTTATTTTTTGCAGGTGATAGTGGTGTGTGTGTGGAATTTCCTAGCTCTCCCATTTTCCTTTTCTTTTTCATGTGACAAAAGGAAGGCTGATTAAAGGCGTGTCCTTTCTAAAATTCCACCGGCGGGACGCTCCTGGTCAAACTGAGACAGCTGCAGGTTCAGACACACACAGGTATGAGGACGTAACCCAATCTGAGAGTTAACTCCTCACCTACAACTCCAAGAAAAAGAAGTGCTTAAAGCACTGAAAAAATGTTCAATTAAAAAAAAATGAATCGTCTTACACTTTTAGCATTCTTTGAAGGATATAAGCATTATGTTAACTCATCAGTTGCAGACGTATGATTGCTTTTTGAGAAATCAAAGAAATCAATGAAAACTATTCTCGTGGTTCATGAGATATTTTGCGAGCAGACACTCATACATCATTGTCTGCTTTTGCCTTTCGGCAGAGGCCAGTAATAATTATGTTTCCCATACTTCTCCAGTTCAAAGCCCACATTCTGCCTGCAGCTGGATGAAACGACTCACTCTCTGCTGGTGGATCCCTGGTGGACGAGGCCACTCCGCTCACATGGGCCGCAGCTTTGGGAAGGAGGGCTTCATGAACCCCAGGGTCCAAGATAGGCAGCACTCCTGTCAGCTTATCTGTGTGAGCCCAAACACACACAAAGAAAAAAAAAACAATCAAGCCTGCCACAGAAGGGCATTCTTAGTGGTAGCTGTCATACTGCGTACGACTCAAGAGTGGAATTGTTCTTACTCCTCATGGCCGTGGATATCTCCCTCTGGAATCTGTCAGCAATCTTCTGATTAGAAAACACAGAAAAGGGTGGGGGGGAAGCAAGTGAATGGGACTGCGAGTTACTATTATACTCCAAAACAATGACATCTAAACTAAATTAATCAGCATTTAGTTCTTCAGCCAGGCTGCAGTTTCCACGTCAGTTCTCATAGGCGTAATCTGTGGCGGGGTTATTGGGGTTACGACCCCCACATTAATTTGATCCAGTGAATATAATCCCCTCCCCCAACACACAAACACACTAAAATGACATAATTTGCTCAAACACAATAGATGCTTCTCTCTTGCTTTTAGGTACCTTTTACCTGATTAAAAAAACGATGATGTCATATCTGCACATTTAAAGGGATCCCAGATTAGTTGTAACATTAGACTTTATATGATAAACATATACTTTAACTGTAAAATAAAGACTGTAAAAATACTGTAGGATGTTCAGTTTTTATCATTTTTAAACTAAAAGTTTAAAAATATATTACACRGACGGGGCCATTTTTTACATGCAAAGCATTCTGGGTAAATGATGACATCAACTAGGTCATCGGTGCGAGGCTGCTAGCGAGCTATATCCACCCTGAAGTTTAATCTTGGACAATATCTGATGATCGACTCTTTTAAATGAAACCAGAGAGCGTTGACAGAGAGGAGAAGGTAGAAATGACTCAGCCTGTAACTGAAAATATGGATGGAGGACAACAGAGCTGCTTCATGGAAGAAGAACCTCAGCTTAGCCTGTTAGCTTTAGCGTTAGCCTCGACGCTATCACCACATATAAGTATTAGCTCAGCGCTACACATTCTCCTCTCGTCACTGAGGTCCTCCATCCACATGACAGAGAGGGGAACACAAAAATGACTCAGCCTGTAACTGAAAATATGGATGGAGGACCTCAGTTTAGCTTGTTTGTCGCGCTAGCGCCGAGCTAATACATATAAGGCAATATAGCATGGGCGAAAGCGCAAAGGCTAACAGGCTAAGCTGAGGTTCTTCTTCCATGAAGCAGCTCTGTTGTCCTCCATCCATATTTTCAGTTCCAGGCTGAGTCATTTCTACCTTCTCCTCTCTGTCAACGCTCTCTGGTTTCATTTAAAAGAGTCGATCATCAGATATTGTCCAAGATTAACCTTCAGGGTGGATATAGCTCGCTAGCAGCCTCGCACCGATGACCTAGTTGATGTCATAATTTACCCAGAATGCTTTGCGTGTAAATAAAATGGCTCTGTCCATGTTACAATATATTTTAAAAAATTTACAAAACTAAACAGCCTACAGTATTTTTACAGTCTTTATTTTACAGTTAAAATAAATGTTTATCAAATAAAGTTTAATGTTACAACTAATCGTGGATCCCTTTAAGCATAATTGCTGAAAATGACATGCAGGGTTTTAGAGCATAACCCCCCCCCCACCCCACAATGGTAGACCTTAAGTTACACCCTTGTCAGTTCTTTTCTTAGATGATAGAAAGTCTTCAAACCCCTCAAACCTTTCCACAGTTTGTATCATAAAATGTGTTTTACTGGGATTTGATGTTTGTTACAGTGGTCAAACAGCATCATGAAGACCAAGCAACCTACCAGACTGATAAAGAATGATAAAGTCGTTGGGTAGTTTAAAGGTAGTTTAAAGGTTGGGTTAACTAACAAAAATGCTACTTGTGGCAGAAAACGTACAAGTGTAAAAGTTCTGCTTTTAAAACTACTTAAAGTATAAAAGTAGCTGTAAGGAACAACACGCCAAATAAGGATAAAAGCTCAGGCCACATGGATCTATAGTGCCCAACCAACCCCACCTCCCAGAAAACATTATTCATAATTACACCTTAGACAGGCCTCGTCACTTCCTGTTTATAAATCTCTATTGAAAACACACCTGTTTTCTCAAATCTTTGATTGATTGTGAGTTATGCATTTGTTGTTGGTGTTTTCTCTTTTACATTTTTAAGAATGTCATTTGTTTTTTATATTGATTTTTGCCTTGTGCTCAGCACTTTGGTGACAACTTGTTGTTTTTAAATGTGCTTTATAAATAAAATTGATGATGATGATGATGATGATAATTAGTATAAAACGTTAATATTGAAAAATGTGGGATTTGTGTCATGTAAAGATGTGATGGATCATCCAAACCATTAGGGTGTCAGAATGGTAAATGCTTATACTTCTCATCCAACCACAATTAAATTCACTCTAACTAGAATGTGCCACATGTCTGGATAGGTTTCAGGTTTTTTTTTCTGAAAGATGACAAGCTAGAATAAAAACAAGCCAAAGTCAAAAACTGAGAACTCTACATTTTAAAATGTAGAATAGATATAATGTAAAAATACTGTTTGATCTGCTCTTATTTAGGTCAGTAGGTTATAAGATATTCTTTTGACCTGATGACATCAGCTTTACTGTGTTTAACTCAGTTCTTTTGTTCATCAATAGACAGGAATGTTTTGGCCAGGTCAAGATCTGCTGTAATTTATCACTGATTATTTTTATCTTGATCCAATACAGAGCCTGGAAATGAAGTCACTGCCTGTTGAAGATATTATCTGTGGTTAAACAGTATATATAGTCTGCCAGTAGAACACATTTTGACAGAGAGCTGAGCAGGTTCTGTGTTCGTTTCTGTGTTCCTGTTTACTGCAATAAACAAACTCAGGAGAACATTCTACGAAGTGACTTTATTCCTCATATCACATATTTCTATTTCTTTGTCAAAGAAATATTTCGACATTATASATGATCCTATAGATGATCACATGAAAATGTAAGACGAAGAAGTAAAATGTTGGCTGAAAACTAATTACTCCAAAATATAAATAACCAAAATTTCGACTTATTTAATGTAAAGTATTTGTACTTCTGAGGATGACGACCTGAAAACATCCAGTAAGCTCTACAATGGAACGGGTCAGCTCAAAGCATGCCCCTGGGTCAGAATGGCCCAGTTGAAGTCATGTGGTAAATCCAACTTCAGCTGTTTTACGAAGAAAAATGGGCAAAACCTGGGGTGAGTGTGGCTCAGGAGGTAAGGGTTGCAAGTTTGAACCCCTGCCGATCCCAGTCGTTGTGTCCTTTGCAAGACACTTCACCTGCCTTGCCTGCTGATAGTGGTCAGAGGGTCCGGTGGCACCGGTACATGGCAGCCCCGCCTTTGTCAGTGTGCCCCAGGGCAGCTGTGGCTACAGTGTAGCTTAGCACCATTAGTTGAGTGTATAACTGCAGTGTGAAGCGCTCTGGGGTCTGTATTCAATTTACCATTTAAATCAAACTCTAAAATACTGCCATGACAAAGTGTTGACTGGGAGGGATACACACAAATACACAGCACTTCACGATTATTCACCACTGATTTATAAAATCCCAGCAAAAAGTGTTTATGTTGTGACAAAAACGTGGAACGGGTGTTACGATCGTTTAAACAGAGGAGTCCAAACCTTCTGGATGTGGTGGTGGAGTTGTTGCGTCACCTGCCAACACGGGTCATTTCTTTTATCCTCAGCGGGAGAATCCTTCAACTCCCAGTGCAGCCTTGTGTTAATCAGACACGACACACTGCTCCGTGAAAAACTCTCCTGCATCTGTCAATGAGCAAAACAAGTCAAATCTTTTTGACTTTTGTCCTTAAAGTGAACTGTGGCCACTAGGGCTGTGTATTGGCAAGAATTTGACGATACGATACATATCATAACAGAGGGGTCACGATACGATATATCCCGATATATTGCGATACTGTAAGCAAGGCAATATATTGTGATATATTGCAATTTTTTTGTCCAAAAATTCTATTAAATAAAAACCTCTTACTGGAAAAAAAAAGCTAATGTTTACTTACAATGCTAATGCTACCCTTACTCTCCAGCGCTAAAGAGGTAGAGGAGCCAACTGTCTGGCTCACTGCTGCCAACTAGTGGTCAGAGGCTGAACTACAACATAAAAATGAACGGTTGGCAAGAAGGKTGACATTTTAAACCTTAATAAAAAACTCGATACAGGGCTTTAGAATATCGATACAGTATCGGGAAATGAAATATCRCGATATTTCAGTGTATCAATATTTTCTTACACCCCTAGTGGCCACAAGGCAACTCTATCAGAAGAACAGTTGAAAACCAAAGATTTTTAGTTAGAATTAAAAAAGTAATATTCCAGGCTGAAATTGTTTATTTGTATTTAAGACAATTAGCCAAAATATAGTTCAGAGCTGCCTTATGTAGAAACACTATATTTCCACTTTGTCATCCCAACCATTGGCTGTAATGCAGAATGTCTTAAGTCATGGTACTCAATTTATCAGTAACGCTTTCTTTTACGATACCCTTATTATCATGCAGTTAGGGTACAATTTTACTATGTAATTAATTGTCTGCAGTAATGTAGCACTTACCTGGTAATTTATTACAATTCACTATGTAACACCTAAATAAGTAGTAGGTAATTTGGACAGTTTTAAAGTTATATTTTATTGCAATTAACCACTAACCCCAAAATTCAGTTGCATTATTTTGGTTTAAATATAGTGTTGAGTTACTATTGAACAGTAATTTGGTTGTAGTTACCCAATAAAGGTTGTTTTGCTAACAGTAATTTTTCTTTTGTACCTTAATTACCACATAATTACATGGTAATAAGGTAGTAATTACAATTTCATTACATTTTTTGTTACCTTGYAATTACATGGTAATAAGGGTACCGTAAAAGAAAGCCTTACCAATTAATCTTTGGACTATATTAAGACTAATCATAAAATACAAATAACTACACAAGATATTTAGATTAGATTTAAGCACACATCTATATTTGCACACTTTATAAGACCAAAAACACTCAAATTTTAATTTATGAAAAGTCTGATGAGCCTTTGCTGCCTGAGCATATGTCAAATTTCCTCCACGTCCATCCATGGGCTAAAAAAATGTGTGCCACCGCACTGGATGCTATCTGAAACCATCAAAATAAAACTTTACTTAAGAAGTATTTGCCTTTCACGTATTAAATTATTTTGGCCCGCAACCTTCAGAGCAATTTTTATTTTGGCCCTTTTAGGAAAAATGTTTGGGCGCCCCTGATATAGTTTCATAAAATGCTGTCATAGCACCTGAATTACATAGCAGACTATTTTAAAGGTTATTATGATTTCCTAAAATTACACAAGTAGATTTTAAACTACCTAAAGTTAGCACTTGAGTTAGCAAGTTGAGGATGACTCTCAGCTACTACCACACCATCATTTAGCTCAGTATCTTTAAAAACCAATRAGATCAACTCCAATGAAGAATGTTAGATTTACAGCCAGGGACCACTTCCTGAAAGCTTCATTGAAATCTGTCCTGCTAACAGACTAACAGAGTTCACTGCAAATACTTAAATGGAAACATTAAACAAAGGTTTTGTGTGCTTGGTTAGTGCTCAGCGTTGGAGTTGACACGTAACACACCAGGTTTTAGCTCAATGTCTGTAAAAATAACTACCTTTGTGTTCAAGTTCATAAGCTGCGGCAGCCATCTTTAACAGGGTCGACTCCAAAAGTTAGTCAGTCGTTCATGTTCATCCATTCATCACTTTCTGAGAGTTTTACTAAAATCTGTCAAGAGTTTCATGAGATATTTTGCTAACAGACACAAATACACATCATTTGCATTATGCTGAAGGAGCTAGGGTTGGGCATAATCGTATCGTGTGCAATTAATTGTCAGAAAAACATTAATCGATCAATTTTTGGCACTTGACGATTAATACGATTAATGCCACCAGGCTGACTAGATGCTTGGTGCTCCTCTCTCATTCAGATATGAACAACATTAAAAAAAAGTTGTGTAATTTTTTTTATCAATCAACACAATTTAAAGTTTGATGTATAGCCTGAAGCCTGTAATTTTGTCACAATTTGGAACAGATTTTTACGAAGAGCCAATTTTCTCCCACTAAATTGGTCATGTGACCAGGACACAAGGGTGTCCAGGGACTCCGGGGGATTAATCGTCAAATTAATCGTTATCGGCTAAATACCACAATTAATTGTGATTAATTTTTTTGACAATATTGCCCAACCCTAGTAGGAGCACATCTTTATGTGTTGTTCTTGTCATGATGACAGTCCAAAACTTTAGCATTTTAAAAAAGGTTCAAAGTTAATATTTTTTATACATTGACAGTTAAACAGTGGCATCACCAGGACTATTTAATGTTTTAAAGCCCCCCTAAACTATTTTGGTGTAAAAAAATTATTTATTTATTTTTTACAAAAATTCAATATGATGAGGTCAGAATAAACAACCATCTAATATATACACAATATATGTATATATACATAAACAATAGAAATATATAATATAGAAAAATGCTGAGTCTCCTAGGGGCTAAGCCCCCCTTGTCCTTAAAACCCAGTGCCACCCCTGCAGTTAAATAAAACACGTTTACTGTAATAAAACTTTCTCTATTTCTTTATTTTTAGTAGATAAAAACGAAACGATGGTTTGTTAGCCTCTTAATGAAAATCAGCGCAAATTAGTCAGCAATTAACTCTTAAGGGTTTCCAGGTGTGATTGATAGGGGGCGGGGCTTCTAACAGCCAATTAAAACCCAGTACCTGACTGGGAGCAGTTACTGAGAGTTTTCGGAGTTGTTAGGTTCAACATAAAMGCTGTAGAAATCGGAAAATGTGTTGCTTTGTGTTTGTTTCCTCCAATTGTTTTGCTTTTATCCACAACGTGAAAGAGAAATTCCTGCCGCGCAGTTCCTCTATGACCTCCTACCGCAATAAAACATCTCTGACGCATTTGTGATAACTGTATGGGCTTAAAACTTTCACCAGTATTAGTGCCCGCGGTTATTATAATATGTATTAGTTATTTACCCTCCACGTGCCGAAGCGAAACTTKTATCTGCATCAGCTGTGGCACGAGAGCACATTTACTCCTTACCGTGTTCAGGACTTTGTTGAAGTACAAGAAGCTCAGGGCGACCGAGACGGTCTGCAGGAGCACAGCTGTGAGGATGATGAGGCCGAGGCACTGCAGGGACAGGAGCAGAGCCATGTCCGGAGGACAGGAGGCACTTCCACCAGTTTAAAAACACGAACAAGCTGCATGAAATAAATCCCACCCGCCTTTCTGCTGGAGGCACGGAGGAGTGAGGAGCTGCAGCCTGTAGGAGGAGCAGAGAGGAGGACTGAAGGCTTCCAACTTCCTCAAGATGTCACTGTTATTGACCTGAGGCTGTGGAGCAGCTGCTGCTGCAGCAGTTGGAGTTAACTGTGCAAGAACTCAAGTTAAACGAAGCGATGATGATGATGATTTTTATTTTTGGGCWAATGGACGCAAGACAAAAAAAGGAACCCTGAAAATTACAGCAAAATCCCACGTGATGCTGTGAGCCCTTAGCAAAAAGTAGTATATGCAAGTACACTAATATTAAACTTAAAATAAAAAAGTATAGTTTACTTTTTATGTACCTGTCTGAGATATACTTAACCAAGTTTATCTTACACTATACATGGTTTGTACTAAAAGTATACTAAAAGTTTAAGTATACATTGTTTAAACTTTTGGTCAAGATCAACTTTAGTAGTACACTTTTCACACAGACTGGTTTATTTGTAGTATATTTCAAGATTAAACTAAAACTATACTTAGATTACTTTCAGTATACTTCTGAGTATACTTTCATAAACTTTGTGGGCCAATTTAGTGCTAGAAGTATATTTGTTAGTCAACTGCTAATACACTTATATCAGTTTACATGGTAAATAAAAAATACACTTAGGGAAATATACCTTTATATACTTCAGTATACTTAATGACATGTACTTAAAGTATACTTCTTTTTTGTAAGTGTATAAACTTAAAAAGACATAACAGTATACTTAAAGTATACTTTTTAAAAACTTAAAAATGTCCCAATTTAGTGCGAACAAGTTTTACACTGCAAAAACTGTCCATCTTACAAAGTTTTAAAACCTTATATCAGCCAAAAAGTCTTTTTGATCTTGTTTTGAGACTGATTTACTAAACAAGAAGTGGTTGTGTAAGAATAATCATCTTGTTTTCAGAATGTGTAAGATTCTTGAAATACTTGATTTGACTCTATTTTGTC